TAAAGAAAATTAAAAAAATGTCGAAAATTAGCGATTTTTAAATTTGTAATTTTTGGGGGTATTTCCCCTGTTTACGGGAAAAATTTTTTTGATTAATAAACGCTGAAAACTATTTTCACATATTTAAACGTGAAAATGTTTTTTGATATTATCGTTCTAATAAGAATAAGATTATTTTATTATTCTTAATCTATACATATGATCAACATAATTTTAGATGCATCGGTTTATTAGATAATGAGGTGACCGGTATTACCCACTGACCATAGTTTTTTGAGTATACTTGGTCATTTCAATATTAAGCTACTGATCAAAGACAACTGTAGTTCGGTTGTATAGACATTTATAAACCGCTATCATTAATAAAGCCATTATACATTATATCATTATATAGACATCTATACTCATGTGGTGAACTTGACGAAGTGGGGGGTAAGCCCTCATTTTTGTGAGCCTTACACAATTTTAGCACCACTTGAATTTTTTGTTCTAGCTGCGCCATTGTTCTGTATGATTATAAATTTTTATGTATAAAAATTAATTTGTTTAAAAATAACAAAATAGAACAATAATTTATGACAAAATACATATAAAACGTTATAAACGCATAATGCCTTGTTATTTATTCATTGAAAATAGTGCACAATAAATTAATCAGATATATTTTTCAAATTCAAATTTATTTTAATATCAATAAAACGTAAAATATAATAAGTATGAATCTAGTAAATTATCAAAGTAAAATATTATTATCGCTAAAAATTAGAAAAAAACATTTATAGGAAAAACAAATAAAAATACTAATTAAATTTTAACGTGAAAATAAAAGTACATATTGAATAAAAATGCAAATCAACTCAGTCTAATAATTTTTTAAATCGTTAAAATTATATTAACGTAAATTCTTAATATCTCCGCAATATTAAAATGATTAACTAAACTTATTAACTTGTTTACGCTCACCTATATGTCTTGTACATAAAACATATATTTCAGTTCATGTTATATATTATAATATTACATTGAGTGAAGCCAATTATATATTTTTCAAAAGAATATAATATAATATTAAGAATATAATATAAGATAATAATATAAGAAAAAAAAATTCAGAAATAAAGTTAGTATTTCTATAACAACAAAATTTGTCAATAAATTATTTAAGAAAAAAATTTAATTGAATAAAATAGTCTGTAAATAATATTTATAGATGTCACAAACATATTACTATGTTGATCCAATCAACCATTCGTTTGTTTCAGAATGTTAAAATTGACCGTTTTTAGATGAAATTTCTATTGATATTCTACTATCTTATCTTTAATGAATCGCTCTGTATATATTTTTCAATTGGTATCATTTAAATAATTTAATTTTTGCTTCATAAAGTCATCGTGGCATTAGTGGCGCCGGGTTGGTATTTTATTCAACCCAACCATCGGGTAAAATACCAACCAAACCCAATTAATATACACATTTCCACCAATAGAATTCAGAAGAGGGACACGCTTTTTTCCTCTTGATTTATGTTAGCGGTAAAAAAACAATTTTGCTCAACAATTTAGTATGCACTTGAAAATAATCAATTTACTCCATTAAGTAAAATAATTTATCATTATTTTAAAAATAATTCATTTCAAAGTTTAAAAATATTTATAATTATTTGCAAATTTGTTAAAAAGATAATAATGATAGCAGCCGATAAAAAAAGTGTAGTGTATATTAAGATACAACCGATAGAGTAGGTAATTAATTTGACGCTATATTGTTTAAACCCAACTAAACTCCCACATCTTCTACGCTCACATCAGCTGTTCTCATATCGCATTCAATAACATCCCAACCCTCAATCTCTTTTTTGGTCTTCATCTACCTCTTCTTTCTTCAACATTAATTTCTATAACTTTTCTTACAGCTTCCGATTCTTCTCTCCTCATAACATAACTATATCATCTAGGTCTATTTTCTCTCATCTTATCCACGATTGACGCTACACCTATACTTCCTCTTATATGCTCGTTCCTTATTCTATCTTTTCTAGTCACTCTACTTATCCAACTAAGCATTTTCATGTCTGCTACACTCATTCTCTGATCTACTTTCTTATCAACCGCCCAACACTCTGAACCATACATCATAGTTGGCCTCACTACAATTTTGTAGAATTTACCTTTTAGCCTCATTGGAATTCCTTTATCGCATAAGACACCAGACGTATCTCTCCACTTTAACCACCCTCACTTAATCTTACATCCTCGTCAATACCACCGCTCTTTTGTATAACTGTCTCTAAATACTTGAAAATTTCCACCTCTCCAATCACTTCCTCACCTTTGTCACTGATATCCTACCTCATGTTCTCTTTTGTCAACCTAGCCAGAATTTCTGATAATGATAAAATTAATTGTCATAAAGTGTCTAAAATTGATCTTATTCTAGTAAACTGTAATTGATGGATGATTTCTCCACTATAAAGTTATTTGACAAATGTATCAAACAAAATTTTTTTCCATTTTCTTAATCGTTTTCCCATTTTAAATTCTGATAGAATATATCTTCAACAAAAGTACAATTTTCTTAATCTTCAATCTTTATTTCTATTGAATTTGTACGCCATTGACCTTTGCAATGTTCACATATAATAGAACAATTAAGCCCTGTTTTTCGGCAACCACAATTTTTACCAGCTTCAGCACCTGACTAAAGGCCGTTTTATGACAATTATCTTTATTATTAGCAGAAATTCCGGTGGAAATTGACATAATATAATTGTTGTTTGGGAATGTACAATTTAGCGTTTAGTTTGGTTTAAACAATATAGCGTCAAAACAATTACCTACTCTATCGGTGTATCTTAATATACACTAC